CTATGTACCCACAAAAATTTCGTGGAAAATTTTGAAAAAACAAACTCAAATCTAGGATCAGCATTTTGCAATCCAAATGGTCATTTTAACTTTTTATTTTTCTTGTGAAGATGTCTAAACCTTGATAACATCATGAAGATAAGGATTGTGCCCTACAGATTCGGTGATTCAAATGAAAGGATTAGTTCAAGGTGAAGATTCAAAGATGGGAAATGCATGGTTATCCCTTGAAAAACTATACCTTAATAGTATAAAAAGGGGATCTCTCGATTAAAGAGGGGTCGAACATTTTGATAGACACAATTCAATAGAGATCAGAGTTACCGGGAGCGCCACCCTAGGGTGGCACTCCCACTCCGGAATCTCGCTCCAGCGTTCCAGAGCCGGGATCTCTCTCAGAACCCGTTCTCATCTTTTTGGGATCTCGCTCCAATTTTTAAGATTCTCGATCCTATTCACAACGGAGCTCACTCTCGATACATCAGGAATCTCTCTCCCTCTACTGCGGGGATCTCGCTCCCATTCACAACGGATCTCGCTCCCGCTAAAGCACGCATCTCAATCCCATACACAACGGATTTCGCTCCCTCTACTTCACGGATCTTGCTCTCATTATCTCACGGAACGTGTTCCGTAACATTGTAGATGTGATTCCTAAACAAATTAGATCCCTACTCTCAGAATTTTAAGATCGCGATCCCGATGTTCTCAGAAAATAGATTGCACGTAGAGTTCACGAGTGTGCCCGTGCCCATGACCCATCAGGGTCTACCCTATCATGCCACTGACAATGGAAAATAGGTTACACGTTGAGTTGTCGAGTGTGCCTGCCCGCATGATCCATCAGGGTTTACCCTAACATACCAACCTTGAAATTTATTATTTCTACTTTCATATATCCTTGGGTGTGGTTTCTATAAGGTTGCAACCTTAAACAATCCAATTAAGACGCACCACCAAATTTTATCGTGTCATGTAATTTTGGTGTAAAACATTCTTAGGATTATTTGAAAATCTATTTTCATATCTAATTAAATACTTTTAAACTCCAAAAATGGTTAAAATCATGTAGATCTATAAACATATGAAAATTCTTAAAATGGACGGTGTAGATAATATGTTGCAAGATGCACAATATCTGGCACTCAAATATTTTTATTTTTTTCATACACTCATACATCTTAATGTGGAGATGATCAATTGGAGACTTTTTCAACATTAAAACAACCTTTTCCGATGGATTTTTGGGGTGCATCCTTAGTTCTACATTTTATGGTTGCAACTTTATATAAACATTTTCCTATATCTTTGGTTTTATAAAATACTATATAATTCTCAAATGATTTCCCAAATTTGGATTTATATATATATATATATATATATATATATATGGAAAACACTACGCAACGCCTATAGGAGAAAATGAACAGTGATTTCGGCTATGTTCATCACCATCCAAAGTTCATCGCACGGTCACAGTTGTCCAGTATTGTTTCAATTTTCTATTTTTTTTACAAATCAAAATGATCTGAAATTTGACGTGTGTGTTCCTCAAAAATAGGAGAATCTAATAAACATATAAAAATAATAATTCGTAAAATATAGATTGATCAAAATACCCCTGAAAATTTATGGGGGTATTTCGATCAATTTATATTTTACGAAATATTTTTTTCATATTTTTATTAGATGAGCCTCACTAAGATGTACACATGCTCCAAATTTCAAATCATTCTGATTTATAGAAAAACAATGAAAATTGAAACACTGCCTGACAATCGTGACCGTGTGATGAACTGTGGATGGTGATGAGCATAGGCGAAATCACTATTCATTTTCGCCTATAGGCGTTGGGAAAACTTTTCATCTATATATATATATATATAATTTAAAATTACCTTTATTTCTGTGGCAATAATTTTATTGAAATTTTGAATAAATTTATTTTACCATTTTATAACTTTCTAAAAGAAAATTCTTAAATAAAAATAACATTTAAATATAAAAATTAATATTTTTAGTAAAATTTTCATATAGTTATTTCTACCAAAAAATAACGGTGATGCATTTCTCGAATTTAAGCCTAGCAGTAACCATATATGCTTAGGTTGCATCCAAATGGGACCCAAATCCTATACAACATATTTCCATGTATACAAATGCCAACGTAAAGCTCATTTTCGTATCATGTGTGCGAATTTGAACGATACTAACATTAATTGTTCATAGCGTTAGAAGCCTTTATTTCATACTAGATTAATGGGATTTAGTTAATCCATGTACATTCAGGATTGGTTGTGCATTATTAGATAGAACACCGGTTTCTAAATTTAACCAAATTGAGATCGCATTTGTATGGGAATGGGCTGTCGTGCTTAGTTGGTGCACGAATCGATGTGTAATGGGATTGGGTTCTTCATATAAGTGGAGTTCTGCGATGGGGGCACGGACCACCATTGTGCGGAACGCGGTCCTACAACGAATGGAGCTTGATCCTAGCCAAATCGGATCGTTGTATTATTTAGATGGGGGCGAGACTCAACATTAAATGGGATCTCGTTCTTGTTGTCGATGGGAGCGTGATCCTAATAGACATGGGAGCACGATCCCATGTTATATGTAACGCGTTCCTGTCAAATAGGGATCTCGATCCCAATGTATCAAGATCTCGCTCCCTATTCAAATGGGGTCTCGCTCCCTAATCAAACAGGATCTCGTTCCGTAAATACATGGAGCGCGTTCCCGTTAAATAGGGATCTCGATCCCAATATATCGGGATCTCGCTTCCTATTAAAACGGGATCTCGATCTATAATTTCTACCCTCACCGGAACTCGCTTCCCGAGCTCTGGAGCTTTGGCCAGTCATCGATCCGACGCTCCCTCTCCCGATAACTATGGTAGAGATATGTGTTCTTGCGGGTTTTTTTTACCTCAGTAAGAATTAAGAGTGGCAAAGTGAGTAAGATATTCAGGACATGAAGAGAGAGATAATCGTCTCGTACGATTCACTTGAGACCCGTTCTCTTTGGGAGACCAGACTTGAAGGATAATATCCTTGCGTTCATCCACAGGTATATGGGCCGATATGCCGTCGATGTTATCTTTTTCCTTTTGATATATATGTATATTTTCTTCCTTAGAAACGAATGTATAAGTTTCAAGGCCAGAATCAAAGGTTTTCGGCTTATTTTTCTTTCATTTAGCCAATGTAAATTGTAATAGGGGATTAAACCTCTGGAATTGTTCAGTGCCCAATATAATATAAAATCTGTGTTTTGATAAAGAATGATGCGCAAGTGAATTTGTCCTCGAATGTGATGTCCTCTTGTTTCTATTTGGAGTCTAATGTTTGTTTAAACATTCCCATTTAAGCATCCACATTTCGGAGCGTCCAAATCTCTGGCGACTCCACTCAGGAGCAATCAGCTTTCATCTCTAGTTTAGTTTAGGAAGTCTAATCTCTATAGAATATGTCCTGAGTCACAATCTTGCCACATTTACTCTCGTGTCTTCTTTATTCATCATGATGAGAGAACCCCTGCGTTAATCACAGGTAACAATGGCTACAGTAATGACATCTTTTCAGGTAGGAACCATGGAGGTTTCACTGCACTTCTTCCCAACAACGGACCAATCTGCCTTCACTGAACCCGTGGTTAGTCCATGTGTTATGAAAACAGCGATGCCAAAACGAGAGTCCAAGCCACGAGCTTCAAAGGCTAGGACAATGCGGAAAGTCCGGCCTCAGGTGGACTTGGTCCCAGGCAGCAGACCGTTGAGGGTAATCTTGACTTACCCCAACAAGGGTCGGCGAACAAAAACCGATAATGATGGCACGGACTGCAATGTATTAGGAAGCCGCTGCGTGTCGCGAGGTCAGCCGTTCCTGCACGTAAGAAAGATATCTGTGCCACTCCCTCAAGCTTTAGGTCAGGATCCTCGCCTTCTAAGCCCTCCATTCCATCACCTCCGGGCTCTCGTTTCTTGCCTTTAATCATACGGGTTTCGTGCTCAGTTGTCCGTGACGATTACCGGCTAGCGCTTAGGAATCCTTGCGATGCTAACCCATCCATGCTGGCGGTTAGGCATTTTCGAAATGCTAACTTGCGTGGTCCCAGTAATGATCACCGGCTGACGGTTAGGAATCATCGCGATGTTAACCTGTCCAGGCCACCGTATACAGCTCCCATGCCGGCAGTTAGGCATTTTCGCAATGCTAACTTGCTTGGTCCCAATAACTCTCACCGGCTGACGGTTAGGAATCCTTGCGATGCTAACCCGTCCAAGCCACCGTATGCCACTCACATGTCAGCAGTTAGATGTAATAATAACATGTTTCCAGTTTAATAAGACTTCATTTTTTTCTTTTTTTTTATGTTATTAAATTTTTTCAAGCATATCACTTCACGTAACTTTGAGCCAATTTGTGAGACCAATTAAAAAACCACAAAAATCAGAGAGAAGTTTGGTTAGTAAACTATAAGACTTTATATGATGATACACTGGACGAAAAAATATTGGAAGAGACTAAAGAGGTATATTAAATTAAGTAGCTTTTTATTATTACCTAGTTTTTTATTAGTATCTTGTTTTATCTTGTACAATTTTTCATGTTTATCTTGTGTCAATTTTTATCTTGATTATGTAGTCTATCTTTGAAATTCATTCTAATTTTAGATATTAATTTGCGATCTCATTGATTTCATTAGCCATTGTGCTCAATTTACATCAAAACGAGCGTCATATAGTCTTTTCATAATTGCATTTAATACACATGTAAAATTTGTACAATCTGCTAGAAACAATATAAAATGTGATACTTAGAGGAAGTTTTATATTATTTTTATTTATCCGGAACTTTTAAAAGAGTAAACTTTATAAATGATGTATCTGAAATATTGATAAAGCAGTCAAACTACCTCAAAAGATCAATAAGCAACATTTTATAAAAGGAAATGTCTTGCCATTGTGAAGAATGTATATTTTTCTGCAATTTTAGGTGATGATAGAAGAAATTTGACGACTTTATGCAGGGTGAAGGATATTCTAGATGCGAAATTGATCATGGTGTGTATTTTAAGGGATCAACATGTTATTTCTTGAATATTTTGTTGTTTTATGTTGATGATATGCTTATTGCTAGCAGTAATCTGAAAGAAGTCAAGCGTTTGAAGCTTGATACATCCAAGCATTTGCTGCCAAGGATCTTGAGCCAACTAAGAAGATATTGGGCATGCACAATCACAGAGATAGAAAACATGGTACTTGGTTAAGTCAATCTAAATATATTTCTAAAGTTCTAGAGTGCTTTTAATATGATTGACTGTAAATCATTAGCTGCAAAGTTTAAGCTGTCAAAAAACTGCTCTCCAATGAGTGAAGTAGATAATGACAAGATGAAGAATGCTTCACATACTTTTGCAGTGGGTAGTTTCATGTATGCAATGGTTTGTACTAGACCTTATATTGCCCACGCAGTGGAAGTTGTTTCTAGATATATATCTAATCCAAGTTGGGAAGATTGACAAGCAGTGAAGTGGATCATTCGGTATTTGAATGGAACAAGAAATGTATGTATGTGCTTGGGAAATTCACCTTTTGAAAGTTGTTGGTTTTGTAAATGCAGATTATGCATGGTGCTCTGACATTAGAATGTCCACTATTGGCTACATTTCAAGTTGCTGGTAGGGCAGTCAATTGGATGTCAAGGTTACAGGATATTGTTTCCTTGTCATCAACTGTAGCTGAGTATGTTGGATTGTCGAAGGCAACAAAAGAAATGATTTGGTTGAGGAGGTTTGACCAGTTTGGAATGAGACAAGAACAATATGTTGTTTATTTTGATAATCAGAGTGCAATTAATCTGGTTAAGAATGTACCACAACACTCCAAGGAAAAGCATATGAAGTTCATTACCACTTCATCCAATAAGCCTTAGAATGTGGAGAGTTGCAAGTGGAAAAATCCACATTGAGAAGAATGTAGATGATATGTAGGCAAAAGTTGTTTCAACATATAAGAATAAGATGTTTAGCAAGATTTAAGGGTTGGAGGAGACATAACATCGAGGGGATGGAGAATAATGCATTTGTGGTTATTACAAAGGCTCGGTGATTTGTCTTCAAGTGGGAGATTGTTATATATGTGAATTCAAATCACACATGGTTTTGTTTGCTTCATTCACTTATGCTTCTTTCTAACACGTCTCTCTTACTTTCTAGGCCTGTGGATTGCATCTAATTGTGTTTTTGAAGTTCCCATGTAAAAGGGACTTGTTATTTTGCTTTTAGAGTGAGAAAGTAGGAAAAGAAGAGAGCTCTCATGGTGGGTTTTCAGACCATGTTTCATGCCCTAACTGTTAGAGAGAGAAAGTGAGGGTTTTTGGGTGTTGCAGGGCCTATTCTAGCGAGAGAAAGTGTCAAAGGAGTACTCCATTTGGGTGTATTTGGTGCTCAGTTTAAAGATAGAAAGCTGCTATAATTTGGAGCTTTTGAGTCTTGTTTTCTCTTGTAATCTCTTTGAATAAATAAGTGAAGCCTCGCACTTGCACTATTCTTCTGTGGATATAGGTTAGAATTTGTTGTTGAACCACGTTAAATCTTATGAATTTTGATGGTTCATTGCTTTCCCTTGTTTTCTTATATTATTTTCTTGATTGTACCACATTGTTTCCATGGTAAGTTGTGTAGCTTGGATGCACAAACTGTTTATGCTTCACACCCCCTGGCTGATTTTTCCATCATCAACACATACCACCATTTATGTTATTTAGAAGTTGTTATTGCCAAACAATTTTGTTAATGGTTGCTAAGTCGGTCTACATACTCTCCAAAGTGATAGCCTTTTAATATGGTTAACAGATGTAGATGTCGATTTGAGGATATATTTTTCCTTTACAAAATCTGTTTCAAACAAAAGCAAGCACTCTTGACAACACGTAACGCAATGTTACCTGCTCATTAATTTAGGGAAGTTGCAATTCAGAGAAGCAGCTGGGATTTGGAACATAAGATTTTCATTCCCAGAACTTGAGGAAGTTGTATGTGACCCCATTACAAAAAGTGCAACGTAGTACTTCTTTGTATATTGTTTAGCTATAGACACCTCCTTAACTCATCCAGTTGTTGACATCAGATGGATCTGATAGCTCATCTAGTTGTTGATGCATATACTAGTATCATGGCATGCATCCCAATCCAGAATTTGAACCATTGAATTTGTCCCTCAAATCGAACTAAACTAGTAGTCGAGCAGCCAAAAGCATGTCGAATGACCACACACACACATAGACCAGAGTCGACAAATCCTATCCTCTCTGTGATGGTCCAATGGTTAAATTAAAACCGGTTTAAATTAAAGCGATTGTACCATGAGACGATCTATCTTTTTTACGAGGAGCTAAAAAATACTCCTACGCATTAGATATCAAATTGAAATTTGCCAAACAACAATGATTGTGACATCTATGTACCAAAAGTAGACGGACGGTCTCTTTTTGTAATTTTCCTACACTTTCCCTTAATCAGCATTGATACATGAATTCACATACATGAGAAGAAAGGCTCTTCACCACAAATATTTGCATCTAACCTACTCTTTCTCATGTCCTTTTCTGCTTAGGTCTCCAGTTTGTCGACACTTCCTTTAGGAAACGACCCAACCTTCTCTGCAATGGACAGACAAACAATTACCATGGCTTCAAATATTATAATAGACATGTTTTTTATGGTATTGTATACAATGGCACCATTTACCTATTGTACAAAGGAGGTCATAATTGCTTATAACCATCCCATATGAAATTTGACAGCTTAAGTGTGTCATAGAATTCGAGAAAAATTCTTTTGAACTCTGTGCTTGGTCCATGGAATAAATACAGCCACCAAATTTCACATCCAAAGATCAAGATTAGCAGTGACCATCTTGTACAAAAAGGTAAATGACATCATGATATATTGTTCCTTTTTATATACATACATGAGAGAGAGAGAGAGGTACTATTTATCATACCCACATGTACACCATAAGTATGCATCCTGCAAAGATGTTAATCGTAAGGGAAGTGTATCATAATATTAAGGAGTAATGACATGGAAAAACCTGCTTTGCATAGTGGTGGGTCCTACTCTTTATTCATCATTATCGTTTCAATGGACATTGTGATCATAAGGACTATTCATTTTCGATAGTCCTGAGAATCATAGTGTACTCACCCCTCCATGTATTAGATCCAAAGAATGAAGCCATTTTCTTAAATTTTGGTTGTATATATGAGGCCATTTATCTTAGTTACAAGGAGGTCACAAATATTTTTCGCCATTGAATGCCAAATTGGATAGCTCGGGATATAACATAAAGTTCGACAAATTCTTTTTTGAACTTCGACACTAGTCAATGACTGACCACCCGATTTGAAGAAATTCTTTTTGAACTTTGAGTCTAGTGAATGACTAGCCACCGGATTTGACCTCTTTCTACCAAAAGTAAATAGTCTCTTTGTATTCTTTCCTTTCACTTAATTAGTTTCAGTCACAATGTTCATCATAGAAAAATAAAAAAAATAAAAAAAATTCAGGAAATGGAAAAATATAGAAATTTTTCTTTTTGTAAAAATGAAGAGCAGGGAATGAAGGTCTACAGAACTAAGATTCCTACATAACAACACCTGCCCTTCCCCTCCACCCACCCCACTCTCTCCTCGTCACAGTTTCGGATCCGCTCGTACCTCCCCAGCTGCTGGCTTGATTCGAAGGAGCCACACATTCGCAAGCTCCACCCACATTCCACCTAGCAGCCATACCTTGGGTAATTAATGTTGGAAAAGAGAAACTACAGCAGCAGCTACAACAATTGTAAATAGATAATAACATTGATAAAAGTAACATTATAAGCACTTGTCTTTTAAGGTGCTACAGATCATCTTCACTTTCCATGGTGGACTAACAGTAGAGCACCAGGGTTGGTGATTTTGGTCCTGCAAGTTTTGTGGAGGCCAGGGTCTGATATGGTCTATTTCTAGGTTTTAAAAGTCAGCCAGCTTGGTTCAAACTCAGTCGAGTTACTCAAGACTCCTAGCTGAACCGAGTTCTCAGATACAAACTTGGAAATATAAATAACATAAATTTTTTATTATTCTTCTTTTTGGCTAAAATCAAGGCTGATTTGGTGTTGCTCTCAAGCTCAATGCTCCTACTGTTAATTCATTGCACCAAATGCAATCCCATCTGCAAAGCCTGAAATTCAGCTGCATTATTTGTATTTTTCACAAAAAGATTGGAGAAGGCAGCTACAAATCTCCCGTTATGATCATGCATAACGACTCTGTAACTTGCCCTTCCTAGATTTCCCAATGACGCTCCATTGATCGCTAGTTTAAGCTAGCCAAGGGCTAGAGGTAACCATTGCACAATTAAAATATGTGGTTGAGGATATTCGAACCACTTAAAACAAATAAAATATGTGGTTGAGGATATTCGAACCACTTCAAACTTTAGGTTATCAATTATAGTTTGCTTGCTAAGATAGAAATTTTATTATTTTACTAAAATTATTGTATAAATATATTATGTATAGTTTCAATATTCTTGAGGGTGATTTATAAATTTTTTTGTCATATGCTATATTTTCCTATTTTCCTCTATATTTTTTCCGTTCGTATTTAGAATTTTTTTCCCTTAACCCATCCCATGCTCAGGTAACGGAGCCTGGTTGTTTTAGATAGACAGCCAACGTAAAACTTTGTCAAAACTCATCACATATCATAAATCGAGTTTCACTGAAGGTATGGTCTTTAATAGAGCAGAATAGCAGACAAGTAGTTGACCCCAATTACTTGGAAAAAAGCTTTGAAGACCCCAATTACTTGGAAAAAAGCTTTGAAGATGATGTTGATGATAGTTTATAGCCCTTTCTTGGCTGGTCTACTCCACTCGGGTAGAGTCCGAATCCTAAGCCCAAGCAGGATAAAATAAAACTTGATCCATTTCCCTTGGTATTACTCTCTCTTAGAATTATCAATTATGGGATTTCTATTTTCATTTGAATTTTATGCAAGGAAGTCCACTGAATTCCTAATCATATCTCAAGATATATCTAGTAACAGTTCCTTCATTTTTATTGCAAATGCACTTATTTTACCTGGACAATTTTGGATCTCCTCTTGTGGTTGTGGCTATAAGGGTGTTGCTGGGGAGATGAACGTCTGAGTTCTTGGGCGTAGGAAAGAAACTCAGCCCTCCGATTTCGATTGAAATTGGGGTGGCGGTAAGGTTCAGGCATCATTGCCCGCTTCAGCGCCACCTGATGTGGGCCTATCATTGGTGGAGATTCGACATACATTGTGATGACAACGCTTCTCTGTTGTTGTTTCTTATCTTCCATGATTCAGTACACCTCTCTCTCTCTCTCAAACACACACACCCCACTGTCTTTGTCTTTCACCATAGTTGAACTTGTCAAATTATTTACTGTTGAAAACACAAATTCAGTTGTAACACTTGGGCAACTTCTCGTAAAAGGCTCCCTCAAAAAAGGAAAGTAGCAACATAACTAGAAGGGCATTGATGTCCTAAGCAGAGGATCCAGATCCCCCAGGCAAAGAAAGCATTTCGGATTCTTTAATATTTTAGGCAAAGGGACCCCTTTGAAATTTATATTTTTTGTTTTGTTTTGAAATTTAAGCTTAATTGGACGAAGGGAAAGTATATCAAACCAAAAGGCCCGTGGAAAAGACGCATAGTTCTAATTTTTAAACAGTGATTCATAATGCGGTGGTTCGGATCAGGAATAATCAATCTGGACTGGGAATCATTCTTCTTCGATCTTGTTCCTTGTCAGAATTGGGAATCGTTCCAGTTTCTATCAAGTTGTCAGTTCCCTCAGTGAACCAGGCGATCTTGTCAGGTGGATCGATCTGAGCCCACTAATTATTGAATGGGGGTCCATTTTTCATCCCTTCTTTAGCCCCTTTTCTAAAATCTAACTGCTTTTCATCAAAAATTGGTTGAAACAGTCTATAAAGCAGTACCCAACAACTAAATTGAACATATTGCATTCAATCTCTCAAAAACACTTTGGGTTTTTTTAGCCCCAAACAAAAATATTTATGAGTCTTTCCCCAAATCCTCCGAACTACACAATTTTGGTTCATTTTAAATGCATTACATCCCTCGTAACACCTCATCCAATCAATTTGGATCAAGTAATCTAGTGTGGTTAAAGGTCTAGCTTGAAAGTTTTTGGGTCTTGTGAAGTCGAATTTTATGATTTGAAGAGTCGAACATTTTGGTTTGATAATCTTCAAATGTCATTGGGGATATCGATTTACAAGGCTTTTAATTAAGGGGAAGTATAAAATGAGACCATTTATTTTTTATATAAAGTGGTCACATTAATCTGGCCCATTGGATGTGCAATTGGGTGGCTGCAATTATTCTATTGACTAAGCTCAAACTTCAAAATAATTTTTTTAGAACTTTGTGACATCAAGCTATCAAATTTCACATCAAATAGTTGTAAGGAATTATGACCACCATGTATAAAAGGTAAATGACCTCATTGTATACAATACCTTTAATTAATATGCAACAAGCATTTTTATTTTAAAAAATATTTTTTATTCGTTTCTGGGTTTCAGGTGGCCTTTTTGGCATAGTCTGCCTTTTCGATCTATTGTTCTTTGATTTTTAACAAAATTGGTCATATTTGGTTCAAACAATCTTAATTCATCATTTTTCACTAATTTTAAATCAATTTAATGGATTAAAACCCAAGTTTATGTGGATCCAATCCAAGAAAGATTAGGTTTTTGGGTCAGGATTATGGCTCTTTAAAAAAACGTTTATTTGAAAATGTTAGTTTTTTCGTAGACGTTTTGTTTGATATTATATTAGGAAGGATCAATGATTTTCATTTTATTATATATTAATTGTATATTTTCATGGCTTGGTTTTAATTTCTTGAAAATTGATCCTTTTCTTCTGAAAAAAAAAAAAACTACACACATCGATATTATAATGCAAAATTAAAGGGATTAAAACCTAATTTGTATAGATCTAGACCAAAAATTTGGGGTTTTTTGGCTTGGGATTCAGGTTTCACCTTTTTAGAAAAAAATTATTTTTATTAATTTAACAAATTAACTTAAGATCTTTTCTTGGTTTGATGTTGATTTGACGTAATTTGAGGTTCCGTTTTGGTTCGATTAATAAATTGTTTCCCCAAAAACGTGTAGGTGGTGATTACGACTCTAAATTATGAGAAATAACCAAAGAACTACACACTCGAGGAAAAAATGTGCCCTTTGAATTTCATATGGTGGACATACAAGTTTTTTTTTATATATGATTGGGTGCATGAGGAGCCTTAGGGACTTTCAATCCTTGTTACAAATTTACATCAAACCTCTATACAAATTTGAAAATCTTTGATTCGGGCCTCTATACAAATTTGAAAATCTTTGATTCAGGACTCGAGGTATACGAACTCAAGAAAAGAGAAATATACAGAGAACCTGAGAAAGTATCAATACTACGTGGCGCATATGCCCCGTATGCCTGTCTATAGGCAGGGATGCTGCCTATCTTTCTGCTCCTTCCTGAATCTAGGCCTTGAATGAGTCTGATTGTCACGTGTTCTTCCTCTCTTTCTTTAGATCCACATATTGCAGAGACAACAATGTTATTGGTAGCTACTCTCTGTACGTGTGCAAGGATCTCTTATGGCTCCTTAACAGTCACCATGTGAGACTCAGTCAGTTTTGTCCAAATTCGCATTCGCATTCTCCATAAGGTTGCTTCTTGTTGCGCCTCGCTGCTCTATGGTATAAGGACTACATGCATGGGGCTGCAATGAGAAGGCAACTTGATCTCCACTTCAAGCTGCTGCTAATGGTATGGTCTTCACTTGGGACGATCTTGCCTCTGCGGTCTTTGGGAAACAACCAGCTTTCTTGACTACTGGAGGCATGCAGTCCTTGGGGCTGCCAATCTTTTTTGCAATCTTGCATGAGATTTTTAGGCCAGGGACTGTCCTAGATGAGGGCTCTATTTCCAAATCTTTAGGCGCTATGTCTTCGTGATTCGAGCCGCGAGATTGGGTTGCTATCAAGCCAACCACTTCTGGTTATAGCCTACCACATCAAGAGGCCAAGGCTTGGGCCATTTTCACGGTCTTTAGCTGAGATCCCTTTGCTGTCCCTCACTGCCCCATTGGAGATGTGAGTATAACTCGCATGGGGCTGCCATGAGAAGGCAACTTGATCTCAATTTCTGGCTGTTATAGAGGCTTGGTCGTCACTTGCCACCCTCTCATCTGTGTAGTCTTTAAGAAGTAGCCTGTTGTCTTGACTGCTGGAGGCACACAATTGTTGGGGACAATAGGCTTTTCGGACAAAGAACACCTCATAGGTGTCCCTACTTATCTGTAAGGGATCGAAATGGCGCAAGTCATAAAATGTTGAACTGTAGAGGCTATGAGCGAAGCTTCGAACACCTGTGTGAAGACACAGCGGAATGATCCACAGAGGGAGAGAGGACCTTCTTATAAAGCCCATTTAATGGAGAGAAAAAAAATATTTGGAATTCCAAAACTCAACTCTAGATGAAAGGTGAACTCCTTCATGATGGAGTTACTAGAAAATTGTTTCCCCAAAAATGTGTAGGTGACGATTATGTAATTATGACTGCAAAATTCAAGGAACAATTCGCCCTGTGAATTTCATAGAATGGAAATTCAAGGGTTTTTACATATGATTGGACTCGTGGGGAGTTCTAGGGACTTTCAATTACTGGTACAATTTGTTGGCCCACATAGAGTGAATCTTTAAGATTTTCATACGTAAATAGAGTTATATCAACATGCAAGATGGGTTTTGAACTCAGTCAAAAATATCCACAAACATATGGCATGCAATTCTTATCAAAATACCCACAAAGAGTTACTGTAAATTCTTTGGAACTCAAGAGGATGTACAAATGTCTCTAACTTTGTAATCTACTAAAGAATCTCAACCAAAAATCAATTGCAATTATTGATAAGTTCTTCTAAGCAATCTCAATAGAATTCCAGCAAGCATGCACTCATCATAAATCATTTCAACAATATAAAATAATGTCTAATACCTTTTTCCTTGCTCATACAATATTTCTTAACCGTTTTTTAGTATTTCTAGATGCAAAGGATGAAAAAGAAAGTTGGAACAAACTCACCAAATTTATATGAATTTGTAGGCACACTTTGATAGCTTTTCTAGAGAGCGAATGTAGATGAAAATGAGGTTTATAGCAATATATAGCACAAAATAAAATACAAGTTTCAACACTGGAGGGCTCTCACAGATGAGAGGCACGTCCCTTGCATTCATTTCACAATGAAGCATAAGAGAGAGAAAGACGGTTTTAGGGAGAAAAAAAGAGCTCGTGCTTGGTACTCAACGTTCCAAAACCCATTTCCAATAGCTGCAAAAAAGGGAGAAAATAGAGAGACATGTAGAGAGAGAAATTACTAGTGTTGTCTTTCAATTGCCACGTGTCCCTCTTTTCACATAGGTCTTTCTTATTATCTACACAAAGCACTAGCCTATTATTTTAAAACATATTTTAAGTACGGTAGAAAAATAAATAAATAAAAGGGATTTTTAAGCCCTTATTTTGTAAATATTTGGAAATACAATTTTCGCTAACACAATTTACATCTAACCTCTATACAGTTTTGAGAACATTTGATTCAGGCCTCAAGCCATGTACAAACTCGAGAAAAGAAAAATATGCAGAGAACATAAGTATTAGCCCACAGGGGTGCCTATAAACGTGTATATGTCTATTTTTAGGGATGTTGCGTATCTCTCGGGTTCTTCTTGAATCAAGGCATTGAGTGAGTCTAATTGTCCGATTTTCTTCCTTTCTTTCTTTAGATCCACACATTGCAAAAACAAAATGCTATTGATAGTTACGCTGTCTCTTAGCACGTAAGGAAATTTTCAAGTATAGGTAGTCACTCTCTCTCTCTATACATATATATATAGATATAGATAGAGAGAGGCATGTAAGAGTTCAGGATCAGTCCCAATCCCCACTTTGATAGAGAGGTTTTATAGTGACCATTAGATGATGATAAATATGGATATTACAAAAATCAATTTGTTGGGCCTCTCCTTCATCTGTTACTAACATGGGATCTCAACTTATTTTGAATTCAAATCTTTCCCCAAGGAGCACAAATGATAGATCTTATCCTCCTTCAGATGACATTTGAATTTCAACTCAAAACAAATAAGTTTTGACCATATTTTCCTGCAAGAGACTATAGGAATTCAGTATAGTTTTGTGACTCCGCCGATCGACTGTTTGTGATATGTTTCACTTCAACAAATGCTGCTTTCTGATGGAGAGTCCTTTGGACCTAAAATTTGAAATGGAGATAGGGGACTCAAAGGAACCCAATGATACCTTAAATGAGAAAATAACGAGGGAGACAT